GACAAGACATATGGAAAAAAAACCCCCAGAGACAGCAAACGGAATAATATTGCAATAAATAACATAAATTAAAACAGAAGAGGAATGCAGCCCCAATTATGGTGAAACTGAGGATGAACTGAGGGTGATAGACCTTCTATTTGAAGTCACCATTTTGATATAGCACTAATATTTGCACGTAACTAGACTGTCCGAGATCTACAAGATATTTCCTCTTCCTTCCATTATTTTCAGATTGCTTGATATCGAACGACATTAACTTATAAGATCAGTGTGCTGCAGTAAATTTTTGAAGTATAGCGAATAGGTAAATGAGCCGGTGGTTGTCATAATACAGCATGCAAAAATCAAAAGAAAGAATGCAATATTTCACCTTAAATATAATTGAATTACTTTAAATAACCTATTTCTTACCATAATCTCCTGACCCTGTTACAAATGGTACTGTGCAATGGTATTTTCAATCATGTTCAGTAAACATTGAACATGAAAATTCTTAATAGGCCTATGAATATTATAGGTTTTACATGGTAGTTATCTAGGAAGACAAAATAGCTGCTAAATGACCTTGACCTATTGAAATCGAATAATCTTAAAATGGTTGCCATAATGACTTTTTACCTGTGAGCTATAGTGTAATTTTCCATTAATACATGATTGAGTATGATGCTGATATAAAACACAACAGTTACGTACTTATTACAATATTTTACCTGTAATGACTGTGAATGAACTTAAATGACCATAAATGACCTATTATGACAATCTGACGATCTAAAAAATAATGGTATTATAGTATTCCTTGACCATCAAAACATAACTTTGGATATTAGAATTATAATTAATAGTCGTTTAGGAATTAAGATACATGTTTTACATGGTCGCCATTCTAAAATCGAAGATTGCGGCCATTTGTAAAAAAAAAATTATAGCATTAAAAAAAAATAATATATGTATTGGTTGTTTAAAATAAAAAACTTCCATGCAGATATAAGAAATACGCCATATTATGATGACATTTCGAATTTTTCATCATATTTTTTGTCTATTTTATAGGATATTTCGAAAAGAAAAATTCTTTTGCTTTTTTTAAACCTTTCACACCTTACACTTTCTTGTACTGTATAGCGAGGGTGATATGGGTTGTCATAAACATTGCGCGCTATATGAGCCGACGTTCCGTATCAGTGCATTTTTTCATAGCGAATCAGTGACTGAAAGCGAAAATTGTTCATGCATATTATATTAACCTAGCTGTAGCTGGCTTAAACGCTTTAGAAAAAAAGTTGCGTTCATATAGTTTGGTCACCTGTTGAATAAATTCTTTAAAATTGTCCTTTTTGAAACACAATACTCCCGATTGTCACTAAAATGTGATCAATCCTTCTTTGGAACAAACTATTCTGGAAAGTTTTAATTTAGATCCATTGATAAGTTTTTAAAGATATTTAGGTTGAAACTTTAGCGTTTAAAATTACCCTGAAATTCTCACGCGAATCACTAAACTTTATAAATACTTCTATGTAACATGTTACAGTTTCAAGAAAGTTTCATTCAGACTAGATCAGTTAATCAATTTTATAGATTTCTGGTATGGAACGTCTACCGTTACACGACAATCATATCCACAGCCTACTTCAGATCGTCACCAACATTTTCAAGATGTCTTTAGTTAACCATGACAAACCATTCAGTAAATATATTTTGATACAATGTTCAGTTTTTGCGATATTTAGGTCTAGGACGTTAGCACTTAAAATGATCATGAACTTCGCATCTGAATCTGTATCGCCGTCACCAAAGTCCAATAGTTTCTTGCTTGTAACTAGATTAAGGTTTCCCGAAAGTTTAATTTAAATCAATTTACCAGTTTTTTTAAATATCTGGTGTAGAGTGTTTGCTCTTAAATCCCTTTATTTGTCCTCACATTCACACCCCACTCTAGATTGACCCTAAATATTAGGAGACACATTCTTTATATAAGGTCTATTTTTCCAAAAAGAATGGAAAGGATCCAACAATGCAAAGTGCAGAAAGGGAAGGCCGGGCTGAAAACCCCAGTGCAAAAAAAAAAAAAAAAAAACGATATGGAAAGGAAAAAGTAAAAAATGGCTTTTCCAGCTACTGCAGGGAAATCCATTAACGTCGAGGTAAAAATTAATTGTCGATATTGTTTCCTCACAGATCGCATGTAGTGTCCTTGCAGGTTTTTTGCACTACAGTCTCTTGGCAGCTTTCTCATGGATGCTGATTATATCAACGGATTTATACATGAAGATCAAACGCCCGTTTGCTGATCATTCAAAGCGCTTCACTTACAGTCGGTTCTTTGGTTGGACCGGACCTGCCATTGTTGTTGCAGTGACTGCTGGTATAACAAGAAAAAACTACGCATCTGATGAGTAAATATATGTTTGTTTTCTACGAAAATCGAAAGCTCCTTAATGAGGAAAATGTTTTTGGACCTCATGTTTTCGTTAAACGCTCGAGGCCCTTACACTATAATAATTTTTTAGCTAATCCTACCAAAGTATTTCAGTTTCTAATATTTTGGACAAGTACAGTTTCAAGCATTTACCCGAGGACTTTGATGTCGGCAGCTCTTTTGTCTATACCCTATGTCAGATTTATTTAATTCCGTTTCTGCAAATCTGTGTGGCCGCCACTGGTTGGAATAAGTAGCACATCAGCTGTCATGCAAGCTGAGCTCTGAACTACTTTGAACTATTTTAACAAAAACTATAATCACTGGTATTTCTACTTTTTAAATTATATTAATTCTAGGTGCTGGTTAGATACTGAATCTGGTACCATTTGGAGTTTTATTCCGATCGTCTGCCTCACCAATCTGGTAATGTTTTTCTCTTTAACCAAATAACACACACTTTTATATTTTACATCTAGGAAGCATGATAACCCGATAACAATTAAACAATTTGTTTTAAGCCAACAAGTTAAGGATAATGGTCCATTTTTCTAGAATCAACCGCATTTCAACATTTTCCATATAACAATTGTGCCGTATTCCAAATTCTGTACACAATACTAAAAATATAAATCATTTAATAGTATAAATATTTTCTTCTTACAGTTCCTTTTTATATATTACCA